TGTCTTTGCATCGCATATTGCTTTCTTAGAATCCTTACGAGCCACTTTATATAATTCCCAATTATCAGAATTTTTAAAATTAAATAGTGATTATTATTGAAATCATTTTGTATAATCGATGGATTAAATTTGAACAACGTGATACTCTGAAACTACATTGGCCATATCTAAATAGTGAAGGGAATATTTTGGGATTTTTCAATTAAATTTAGATATGGGATTTTTCAATTAAATTTAGATATGGGATTTTTCAATTAAATTTAGATATGGGATTTTTCAATTAAATTTAGATATGGGATTTTTCAATTAAATTTAGATATGGGATTTTTCAATTAAATTTAGATATGGGATTTTTCAATTAAATTTAGATATGGGATTTTTCAATTAAATTTAGATATGGGATTTTTCAATTAAATTTAGATATGACAAAACAACTAACTGATGCAAAACATTCAACATAAATAATGAGAAAATAATCAAAATAGTTCATTGACTCTTTATAAAGGACTAAAATGGTCTCCAATTATATTAAGGATCATTTTGATCACTCAACTACTTAAAGAGGAATCATGGGACTATTTTGGTTCCTTTTAAAAGGCCTAAGGAACAAAAATGATCCTTGAATATAATTGGGAACCATTTTAGTCCTTCATAAAGAGACCAAGGACTATTTTGGTCCTTTTTCTCATAAATAATTGTGGAAACCATCCAATTGCAACTTAGGTGCATCCCCAATAATATGGTAACCAGTGGAATACATCTCGATTGGATGATCCCAACAAAAGGATTTCTTACTTTCTATGTTGAAAGATAAAAAGTGCTTGCTTTCTAAAAATGAAGGGTTTGAAACTTTAGTAGGGAATTTATTGCAGGTAGAATGAGGAAAGCATACATATAAAACTATAACTGTGAGAGATGACCTTTTGAAGGTGCCAGAGATTTTTGCACCAAATACATCAATGGCCGCATAACGAAAGGTAGTTTTTCTAAATGTTGATATTTTTTCTACATAATCAATCATCTGAAAGTGGTGATGCAAAGTGATTAGTCAGTAGACAAATAATTTGTTATGAAAAGGGAGAATCACGGTACAAAGGAACTAATATAAATAGGTTAAAAGAACATAAAAAACTCAAAAAGTCACCATTTTTCTTTCTTCTTTATTGCCAGGAAGAAGAGCCTTGAAAGCTTGGCGAAATGGATTATCATCAAAGCCTGGCAATGTGGTTTTAAGCATTGCAATAACTGCCTTTATTACCTGTAAAAAAAAGGCAAAACAACCAACTCTCCTCGGTGACCATGGTGCATCCAAGAATATAAAAAGGGTAGCTAATGCTATTTAACAAACATAAACTAGCATTATAGAGAATTGACAAGTTCAATTAGATTGAAGAAAGAAAATAATCAGGAAGTAGCTTGAAGAAAAAATAATTAGGCTTATATTAAAAACAAAAATTTAGGCCCAAATGTAATACAAAAATATAAAAGGAAAGATATCACATTTCATTTATAAGTTGTGCACTGAAAAAGGTAAACTTAGGAAGCAAAGATATCACATCTCATTTATAAAATGAGCCCACATCTAAAGAACAGGACACAAAATTCTGCATCTACATCTGTGAAGAATAAAAAAATAATTGAAAACTTTTACTTGTGCTATCCAACTGCTAGGAATTCATAGATTCAGATATAAAAACTAGTACAGATACCATCTTCCGGATTATTTTGACACGCATATATTTTGGGTAGCAATCCGCAATGCAGAGTTTTAAAAAAAAAAATATGCAGGAAAACAACTACAAGACCTGAACGAATCAGCAATAAATAAGAATGAAAAGTACCCAAATCTCACAACATCTATGTAGCATTGTAGCTTGACCTTAACGAATCAGCAATAAATAAGAATGAAAAGTACCCAAATCTCACAACATCTATGTAGCATTGTAGCTAATTGAGATGTATGAGAATTATCCTGTACAGTAATTGCGATTTATAAGAATTATCCTGTCCAGTATAAGCAGTATAAGCAATAAAACTGATGCAGTCAAAAAATTATGTAATCTTTTATGTTTGCATTGTTTTTTTTTTTTTATTTATTTACCCTATGATGGGAGACAACCAATGATCTTGCTAGGTTGGTGCTCTTAGAAATGTCTTTCCCTTTCCTTCACTTTGTCCCTTCAATTTCTGTGTTGTTGTGTGTTGCTTCTGTTGTTGTCTGTTACCCCCTCTTGCACGGTTTTCTTTGTTGTGTGTTGCTTCGGTTTTCCCCTATCATGTTGTCTATTTCCCTCCCTTTTCACAGTTTGGCAGCTGTTGGTTTTACGCTAGTTTCCTAGGCAAATTTTGATTCTCTGGTTACTTTTATGGTTGTTTGGTTCCCCATGCTATCTGTTCCCCTCCTTTTGCTATTTCCTATGATATGTTGGCTCTTATTGGTTGCTTCAGGGCAGCACATTTATGGGGTTGTTGGATTATTTTTTCCCCTATATATGGGGGTTGTTTTCTGCTGATTGTGGGAGATTTTTGGTGAAGTGTTTACATACAAATATGCGGGTTTTTAGCTTGCGAGCTAGTCTCCTATTCCCTTCTCCTCTTATACTTCATCTTGGACTTCTTCCTCTTCTTCTATTTCCACGGTAACCATCCAACTGTATCCTTCTTCTCTTGTGAACTTTAAGGTGTTTGCTTCCACGTTTTGGTTTGGTATTTGCTAGTGAAGGGTGGACTTGTGCCAGATTGATTCAGTGGTGGATTCCGGGTTAGATCTTTCTTTGAGCACCTATCCTATATTTTAAAAGCTTTGCAGGTGAGGTGACAACTTGTTGGTTATTCTGAGGGTAGCTTTATCTTACCTTTTTTTTAATTTGTTTTTCCCTTCGAATTTCGTAGCAGTTTTCTAAATAGACTTGTTTCTTGTCTATGTTTTATTTCGTGGATGTTTATGAGTTATTGAAAGGAAGAATTCCCTATTTGCTTTCCTAAATGTTCTCCATAAAATTTTTAGAAACTTAGGTCGCATCAAAAACATAACCATAAGGGAAGCACAAGTTCAAAAAAGATCAGTTTAAGATGTGTATAAAAAGATAAGCAAAGCAAACCCACATGAGCAAAAAAATGTTTTCAGGTATTTGAGGAACCAGACAAGCATTTTCTAAAGCAACCTATTTAAACTTTATTCTAGACATAGATCTGAGATTATATGATAAACGATTAACTAAAAGTCTAAAACTATAGCATTGTGAAAAGCCATCAGGCAATTCTAGCACAATGGTTTAGCCATAAAATAAGGAAACCAAAGGGCAAGACCAATATGATTTAAAACAAAATAGAACATGCAGTTTAGGCAAATAACAATAAAATAAGGCAATCATAATTTTTCAAGCCAATTAAGCTAAACAGATGCCTGCCATGTATATCACCAAATTCAATGAATTAATGCGTGCATGAATGAGATGACCTTTGCAACAAAAACTCATGCAGCATTTTGTAACACTTGAAAAGATGCTTTACTCAACATTATGATAATGATGCGACTTGCAGCGAACTCCCATGACTTCACACAATTTTGCTTGAACATCCATAATAACAAAATGAAAAAAAGAAGATATAAAAAACCTTTTTCCTGTAGAAAGCAACACCGTGGACATTAAAGGGTATCTTTCTGCTCCGGAAGGAGATCTGGAATGCTCTACCAGAGATCTACATGGTGCAAAGTTTAAAAATAAGTTTAGCAAAGTATTTTTCGGCAGATTATCAATAACTCTGAGCTTTCACCTGTCTGCGATATAGGACTGCAATATTGCCCAAAGACTTCTTAGAAGTTGAACCATCGGATGTAATTTCTAATATTTTATCCAAAACAAACGAACATTGTGCTTCTTCATTATGACACTCCTTAATTGTTATCTGAACCTAGTGAAGGATTCAATTATTAAATAATCAACAAGATATTTGATTAATAAAAAACAAAAAAAAATCTCCAATTCCATTCTAGGGAGCAAGGATACTAAAGAGCCAATAGAATTATCGGTTTCAACTTGCTTATGCTGCCCTCGCTTGACATTGTGATGGATAACACAACATGCAGCCTCAACAATACGACGTGTAGAGCGGTAATTTTTAATCAACTTTATCTGCAATAATCAACAAAAAATCTTTAAGTTTTCATGCCAGCTATAGCATAGCCAAAAATCATTATCAGATTCTAGTAAAGCACAAGTTGGCGGACATCCAAGTCTATGAAGCAGATTACAAACCTCTTTGTGAGTTGGAAAATCTCTACGAAATGAATCAAATCCATTGACATCAGCTCCATTGAAACTGAATATAGACTAGAATAAGAAAAAGCATTCAAACTATTTTAAATCTCCAACAATTTAAAACAGACATTAAAACAAAGACAAGACTATTTAGCTCATTAGTATGAAGAAAAAGCCATAAGCTCTCTAATAAATTAATCATATGAAATTAAATTGGAATAGGTCAACCTGATCTTCATCACCAACAATTGTAACATGGTTATGGGATGCTAAAATCCTTAAAAGAAAATACTGCATAGAACTAGTGTCCTGAAATTCATCGACTACAATTGCCTTCCATGTATCCTGACACTCTTTACGAACTGCAAGTTAATAAGCACAGATTAGTAAACAAACGACTAGTAATGCATTGAATGAGTAATTCTGTACAAACCTTCACGAAAATCAGACAGCAGCTTTACAGAGGAATTAATAAAGTCATGGTAATCCAATGCATTACATGATCTAAGTATGTCATTGTATTTCTCAAGAATCACAGCCTAATCAGATATAAAGGAAAAAAAAATCAAACAAAGGGCTAATAGAATGTAACTTATAGTAATGGTTTTGCATAAAATGCAAGAAATTAAATGGAAAGACTGGCATAAAGGAATAAGAGCAAAAGACACTCACTCCATTTCTTTGACCCATCTTTTTCAAGTCTTCAGGAGTCTTTCCAGATGTCTTAGCCTGAAAATCAGCAATCCAATTATTATGTTATAGCCAAAACCATCTAATACGACTATGTAAGAATCAAAAATTGAGGCGTGGCAGATGCCACAAAATGTACAGCCCATTGTTCAAATTCATTTGAATAAATTCCTCTTTTCACCCATCACAACTTCCTCCACGTAGAACCCCAATGCAGCCAGAAAGGGAAGATAACTTTTAAACTCCTTTGGAACTGGCAGCCAACTTGCATCTAACAAGCTTCAAACATGTTCATCTTCATCTTAAGAGCATCAAAATTAAGCAAATTGTTGCAGCATAATAGAATACTGCTCATGCATGCACGAAATGTAGACAAGTCAAATCTTAACTGACATGCATGAAAAACCAACCTACAGACACTTGTACAGCTATATTATTTGTTACTAGCGCACAATAGAAACAAAAAATGCAACACTGCAAAAATGCGAGGGATGATTAGTTTGGCTTACGGTAATTAAAATTAAAAAGAATGGATGTCTCATGAGTATAAATATCCATAGATAAGAAAGTCCTAGTATAATTGATGGCAATCCTTCAATCAAGATGCATGTACATCAACATCAATACCATTGACTCTTGTTAGGTTTTATTAGTTGAAATAATTATGAAACATTTAATTAATGTGTTTAGATTACTTTCATGTACTTTCTTTAAATTGTTTAGCATCTCAATTATTTAGTGCTTATTTTAAAAAGTATCATTTTGGTAATTGGTTTAAGAAGCCTTTTCTTATTAAAAAAATAACCCTATAATTTATTATTATTGTCTGAATGATTAATATTTTATCCTATACGAGCACCCATCCCCTCTAGATCTTACTCCTTAACCGAATCCTCTGTTCTCTACCATACTCGATTCACTGTCTTCTAACCTCAAACCTTTCGAGCTCCCTCTATTGCAATCTCTATCCCATTTTTCCCTTCTCTTGCAACAATTTTCTCTCCTTTTCTCTCTCTATTGGATCCTCTCTCTCACTTTTATTCTCCTCTTTATACTTCCATCCCACCATCTATCCCTCTCTCTCTCTTAACCCACTTCCTCACCATTTATTCAATTCACTTCCTTCTACAATTAATTGTACTCTCAACAAGAAATCAAGGCCATTGAATTCCCAAGCCAATATTGCATGTCAATAATCCAAATTGACAAGCACAAATATAGTACGAAGCTTTTGAAAATCCAAAAAAAACCAAAAATTACTCTTTAGGACAACTTATTAAGATAACCAATTGATGAAAAGAAAGGGACAATAATCATCATCATCATCAACCTTATCCCAACTATCTAGGAAAGGCTTTATGATTTTTATTTTTCAATCATTTTGTTGGCAGATGTCTAAGGAGTTAAACCTATTCTTCAAAAATTATTTTGAACCCATACACATATTACCTAAGGTTTAAACAGCCTCTTTAATCCCTCCAACAAAAATTTCATAAACAAATTTTTGGTGTATTTTTCATCAACGTCATGCTTACACAAACCATCTAAGTCCACTTTTACCTACTTTATCGTAAAAAGATTTCAATCTAACCATTTCTTCAATATTATTTATCTCTCTAATTTTATTGCACATCAACTTAACATCCCCTACGCTCAAATTAGCTTTCAATGACTTTTTTCTTATAAACTAATCTTATAAATACAACATAATCACTCTAATTAAACCTTTAAAACATTTACCTTCAATATTTCACGAGATTCATCTATTGTATAATATTGTTGGGGCACTTCTTAATTTTAACCAACAACAACAACATCATTAAGCTTTTATCCCACTACATGGAGTCGGCTACATGAATCTTTTTTCTCCACTGAATCCAATTAAAAGTCAAATTCTCAATTAGATCTAATAAAGAAATGTCATTTCTAATATTTTCTAACCAAGCCTTTTTAGGTCTACCTCTATCGTTCTTAACATAGGTTAAATCTAATACATCTACTTTCCTAACCGAGTCATCAGAAAGATATCGTTTTATGTGACCAAACCATCTAAGGCGACTCTCTCTAATCTTATTTGCCACTGGAGCTACTCCAACATTTTCACATATATGCTCATTTCGTATCCTGACTCTAAAAGTAAAGCCACTCATCCACCTAAGCATCCTCATCTCTGTAACACTTAACTAAATATTATGCTTCTCTTTTAATGGCCAACATTATGCACCATAAAGCATTGCAGGTCTAACCACTATCTTATAAAATTTTCCCTTAAGTTTGAGTGGTACTTTTCATTCACACAACAAGTCCGATGCATTCCTCCATTTCATCCATCCAACATGAATTCTACTAATAATATCCATGTATATTTCATCATCACTCTGAGCAATAGACTCAATATATCTAAAACTTGTACTCTTATCAATGACTTGATCACTCAAAGTCACAAACCCCCCACTAGATCTATTACTACTAAAATTACACTACATGTATTCAGTTTTCGATCTACTCAAACAAAAACCTTTAGACTCTAAGGATGACCTCCATAATTCAAGTTTACCTTCAACTCCCTCTTTAGTCTTATCAAAAAGAAGAATATCGTCAGCAAAAAGCATACACCAGAGAGCATCCTCTTGCAAATCTCCCGTAAGAACATTCTTGACTAAAGCAAAAAAGATAATGGGCTTAAGGCCATTCCTTGATGTAATCCAACTGAAATTGGAAAATACTTGGTCAAACTACCTTGTGTTTGAACACAAGTAACAGCTCCAGCATACATATATCTAATGACTTAAATATAAGCATTTTTATACCTTTCTTTTTTAAACTCTCCATAGCACTTCTCTTGGAACTTTATCATAAGCTTTCTCTAAATCAATAAACATGACATGAAGATCATCATTTTTCTCTTTATACTTCTCTATCAAACCTCTCAATAAATGTATGGCTTCCATAGTAGACCTACCCGGCATGAATCCAAATTGATTTTGAGAAACATTAGTATCACGTCGTAACCTATGCTCCAATACCTAGTATACGCTTGTCTTCGTTGTTTTAACTTTCAGCTCATTTCAACAAAAGAATCAACAATTAGAACTATTTCATATGCAAAAAACATGCATCAAGACATCTTTTGAATATCCCTCGTATGCATCTCAATGCAAAAAAAAAAAAATCAATGTTGATCCTTAATGTAATCCTATTATAATTAAAAAAATCTTTAGCCAGGCCACAACTACTTCAAAAATAAGTATTGTTCAATCATAAATATCATGAATAACTTCCAACACATATTTCATCCTCAGTATGTACTAAATCAATTATTGTAGTACTCAATCATAAACAATCTCGACATCAAAAAAACCATTACAAGATCATTATTTACTCACTATAGTTTTCCATTTATTATATTAACAAAAACTTGTTTGCATAAGAAATTTTCCTGGCATAAAAGCAAATTGATTCTCTACAATTTTTCCTAAGCCAATATTCCATTACGCTCCCTCATAAAACTTCATTCTATGACTCAAAAAATCAATTCCTTCATAGGTAGTGCAAGCCTGAATAGTTCATTTGTTCCAAAATATTGACACCAATATGCTTATTCACCCAATCATTTGGCGATCTACTAGTCTTCAAAATTCCATCAAAAATATTTGTTAACCAACCATTGCAATATCTTATTAAACTTTTCAAATATTAATAGTTATCTCACATGGACCTAAAGCTTCACCCATATAAATCTTCTTCAGAGCTAACTCCACTTCACTTTATTAGAACAATCAATAATATATCTTATTATTTTGTCCATTATGCTTTTCTAAAATAACTTACTTTAAAAACTTATTTAATAATTTCTCAAAGTAATATTTCATCATTTGTTTGGTATTAAGATAATATCGGCACACTTCTAATGCATCTACTTGATCAAAATATTGAGCTCACATCTTTTTATATTTGCTAATCTATAAACCTCTTTTTCTCCTTCGTGCAAAATATATTGTATAAACATAAAAAAGTAGTAAACTTAACTTAGCTCGTCACCCATTCTTTTTTATCACATCACACATCACCAAGCCTCCCTATCAGTGTATGATTCATTTGTACTCTCTCCAAAAATTTCTACCAAAATTTTCTTAATGGAACTGGCCATCTAATCTAAACATATCACATTTAGTTTGATTCAACTAAAGAATTCCAATTTATCTCTTTTAACAACAAATCTTGAAAGTTTAGCCATTTCTCATATTTTAAATTACAACAATTTATTATAGGAAAATATTTCTTTTGAATGTCTTTGCAGTTTTCATATATACATCTACAATTACTATCTATGATGTTCAACTCCCATGAAATCCCCTTACAACATTTGCAAAAAGATTTTTTTCGCCTTCCAAATAAAACAAAATTTATTTGTGAATTGATGTCTCCACTTTATAAGTAATTAAGGGTTCATTTGAGATGGTTGTAGATGTTTGTAAAAGTAGCTATAAAATTGTTATAAAAAAAGCTAAATTCTTTAAAATTTGTTGTGTACGTATATTTGTTTTCTTTCCAAAAGAAGTCGGATAGTAGCATTCTAATTTTTACGACACTCTATTAGATCAAGTTATGAAAAGCTCAATCCTCCAAAAAAAAATTAAAAAACAGCAAGACAGTTATTGTCAAATAGCAAGGTGGCAGTAATCTATAAAGTAAAGACGTGAGAAGGATTCAAATTGAATCGTACATGTTATTTTTGTTTCTTAAAGTATGAATCCTCTATTACAAGATCACAACTTATCATGAAATCAAATAAAACTTACTTCATTGCATTTCTATCCCACATTGCATATCCATCATAAATCCCCTCATATCCCATCCTGCTAGAGTCTAAAATTTCAAAATTTTCATTAGCAATCATCCTCATTACATAAGAAATGACCATATATATAGGTCTCAAAATGACAAAGGAAACGAAAGACTAAAATGCCCCTTGGGCTACAATAGAGACCAGGTACCCATAAGGGCAAAAACGGAAAACTGAAAGAAATAAAATAAATTATTACATAAAAAGACTCGAAATAAAACTCCTGATCGAGGTCGTTGATCTCCGGCGTCTCCGATGGTACACGTGTCAAAATCGCTGACGATGTCCTCATCAAAGACAGTTATTGTCAAATAGCAAGGTGGCAGTAATCTATTAAGTAAAGACGTGAGAAGGATTCAAATTGAATCGTACATGTTATTTTTGTTTCTTAAAGTATGAATCCTCTATTACAAGATCACAAGTTATCATGAAATCAAATAAAACTTACTTCATAGCATTTCTATCCCACATTGCATATCCATCATAAATCCCCTCATATCCCATCCTGTTAGAGTCTATATATCCATTTAGGTTATCTTCAGTAAACATTATTTCTTCCTTGGGCATATGTTGTAGTAGTTATTTTTATCTCATCTATAAATTAATTTTTCAAACTATTAAACAATACAATGAGTAGCAAAAGCACTAACCATATTTATAATGTCCACGCCCATAATAGCAATCACCCAGTCACTAATTTTATTCATCGCAATAATTTTATCTTTCAACTCTCAATCCCACTTCTTTTGTTAACTTTTACCAATATTTAATAACTTATAACCACCTTTCATGTCCACGAGTAAATAAAAACTCAATAGTGAAATTTCTTTTGATGATCAAGATAAATCTTTCAAAAGAAAAAACAAGAGAAATTAAAGTGTTCAGTGAATTAGTGCATCATCAAATAATTAGTTCTCCATATGTACACATAAAGACAAAAGGTGGATACAATAGTAGTACCTGTATCACAAATTTTAGCCATTTTTTTGAATTTGCTTTCAGAGAGCGTGCAATATCACAACCATTAAGTTCTTCACAAGCTTCAATTTCTATCTCTTTCTTCTCTTCACCGTTTGTCAGTCGCAGTGCTTCTATAATGGCTCGCCTCTGTTGTCCATGTCCATAAATAAGAAATTCAGCTGTGCGCCCCAGCCTGCAATGCACAAAGGTATTATAAAAAATAACTAGGAAATGAGCTAAATTCAATACGAACTCCTACTGTTAGTTGAGATATGTATCCTTCTAAAAATCCCGGCTGGTGGAATGATAAGATGCCAAACGAGGATGGGTTAAACAAGCTAGCTGGGCAAGGCAAAAAAAAATTAAAATGAGACTTGTAACTATTACTGAGATATACTAATGAAAACTGCCGAATTTGATAACCCATTTTCATTCCCATCTATGAATTGTAAGCATCACTTTTATATACTGAAAAGCTAAGGAAACCCCTCATTTATAAAAATGATGGACCAAGTTAACCAATACCTCTGACAACATTTGATAGAATGGGTCATCTGTCAACTTCTGTATACAGAAGTTTCAGCTTACAGAGGATGGGTCATCTGTATACAGAAGTTTCATTTGTGTATAAAGATAGAAAAACCCCTTCTCATTGCTAGAAAGAAAAAGAGGATGGATCAAGTTAATCAGATACCTATAACGACTTTTGACATGATGGGCCATCTGCATAGAGAAGTGTCAACTTAAATGCTTAGATAACTAAAATAGAATTTTTTTATTTTGATGGGCTAAACTATTTTATTGAAGAGATAGGTTCTTAAATGTATCTTAATAACTGAAACCTGCAAACACTATCTCATACACTAATAATTGATAAAATGTTCATTTTGGATCATATGAAAGTTCTTTATGGAGTAATAAGGAAAACATGGATTCATAAGCCAGCAAGGATACAGCTAATGATGATAATGTATTATCATTGTTAAATAATACTAATTACAAGCCATAACACCTAATCAAGCATCATCAACAAAAGTCTTATCACAACTTGGTTCGTTTTCATTTATAACCAATTTTTCAAAATCATCTTCAACTTTCTCGTGCTCCTCAAGCTTCTCCAACTATGGAATCCTCCTTGTGTTGTTCTGCCTTGCCATTTCTGTCATTGGTTTCAATGCATGTCATTTACCCTGTGATTCCTCTTATTGTCAAAGCACATATGGATGTTGTTTCTATTGTCATTAATGCTCCTCGGTCCTTCGCTAAATCTGTGGAACGATGGATTCAAGATCACACTGGGCTTCCTCTATTTAGCACCACTTACTTTTCCATCAAGGATTAGGCCCTCCTCCATACAAACAACCCTCCATATTGTAGAGTAATGTGGCTCTTATTTTTATTAAATTTGAGATTTTTGAGCTAGTTACTTCCTTCTCCATCTTTATAGTGGGAAAGTTCTCAAAGGAAATACTTACATTTATGTCAATCTTGCATCTAACTAGAGAATTCTACTAGACTTCTAGACCCTCGCCATATTTGTTCTCACTCAAAGAAAAATGGTGCATACGCACGAATGAATCCTGCATTGCAGTCATAGGATTCCATTCTCCTTGAGGCAAATTGTAGTTAACCAAATTTTCCCTGACAATAGTATCATGATTTGTTTAGACCTGGATCCTTACTTCCCATGAGGGCGAGCCCTCGTTGTTAATTACCCTTTCTAATGCTCGTAGAAGAGAACTCTATATTAAAAATGAATTAATGTTTTAGACATACAATAGTTTTAATTTTGGTTATGGGGGTGGAGGTAGACCCGATCAAGATCTCATGGTTCCGTCATCACGGAAATATCGTAGGGTTTCAGTCTACCAACATTAACAATAATTGATTGTAGTGTCAAGAGAATCTAATTAGCAGTCATGAGTTGCCTAATCTCAGGGACCTCGAATAAACTGAAGTTGATAGATGTTATGATGTTGGGTTTAGGTTAAGACTTGCGGCTCCGCTTGGGATTTGCCCATATGTTTAGATTTAGATTAGGTATTACGGCTCCGTGTTAACTAAAGTCGGACTTACGACCTCTATTAGAAGTTGTCGGTCGGTAGGTCTTACAACTTAGCCCCATAAGTGAGATGGCCCATTAGTTTAGTGTTTAGAGTTTCAACGTTTCGCTTGGTAATTTCTCTAAATAGCCTGGTTAACAGCGGGTCTTACTGCTTTTTTTGGAAGTAGCCCAGGTTATCAGGGATGTGCTATCTATTCTGGGAAAATTTTCCCTAACACCCTAATTAAAGTATGACTTACAGCCTCTATTAGTGGTTGTCATTTAAACTTAGCTTAGCGGGGATTTAGTTTAGCGGGGCTTGTAGTAGTAGATACTTAGTTTTGTGCTTTTCACCACCTTGACACCCATATTAGTGTTTTGTTTACAGTAGTAGCTTTGCTTACTTCTTTGTTTCAACACTAATTTTGTCTAAAGTACTTTTTTTCTTTTAGCACTTTGTTTTTGCAGCTTGTTTCTACCTACCATATTATTATTGTACTTATAGTACTAATTTTGTTTACTACCCTGCACCGACTTTTGTTTACTTGTTTGGAGGTGTTCGTGTCTAGGATTTGCATAAGCTACAGCTTGCAATTGCAGGGTTTTCTAGGAGCTGGAGCTTGCCAAGAGCCTTGCTTCTGTTTACATGGGGATTTTTTTAGCTTTCTGTGTGTTTTTTGTTTTCCTTAGCCTTGGAAGTTTGTTGATTAGTTGGTGTGTGCTATACTTAGGTATGTATAGTGCAAACATTAATTTTTCTATGTTTTATTTATTTGAATCAAAAATGAATAATTTCACCTGAGTGGCTCTCCCCTCGCAGTTCTTCTACTTGTATTTTTATTTGACTTTTTTTAATTTTGTTTAATTTAAAGTTTAAATTAAAATTAACCGCTAAGCTCGTTAATCGATTTTAAATATATTTTAAAATTACTTTAAGTTTAAATTTTATTAAGTAATTAAATCTTTAATTTTATTACTCAATTAATTAAATTTAATTAGAAGATTCAATTTGATTTCTTAAATTAGTTAAATTGATTAATCAAATGTTTAAATAATTAAAAGAATTAATTTTGAATTAAATGATTAAGTTAATTAGAATTTTGAATTTATTTTAATTAGTGATTAAATTAAATTAAATTTTAAATTAATTATTCAATTAGATTTTAAATTAGGTTAGTTAATTTAAAGTTTTAAATTAGAAATTTAATTTATTGTTAAATTGAATTTTTAAATTAAATTTAAATGGATTATTTAGTTAATTTTATTTTAATTGAATTTTGTTTTGTTTAAAATTGATCAATTAATTAATTAAAATTTTTTATTGTTAATTCAAATTAATTGAAGCTCTCAGATTGCAAGTTTGATAAACTCCAAGCATAATTTCGACAACCTCTCGATGCCCCCTCCCCACGAGGGGAGGTTGGGATGACACTTGTCCTTTCAAACCCGCCACACCAAATAGGATTCGATAGTCTGGGGCTTCGGGGGACTAATCAACCCCGAAATTGATCTTTGAGTCCTCCAATTTGACGATCACAGTAATTGTTAGGATAAATTTTAAAATTCAGTGTTTTTATAGAATTTTGGTAGCCTTTCGGCACCCCTCCCTCGAGGAGAGGTTACGGAGGGCATTTGCCCTTTCAATTCTGCTGGATCAGATTAAAATCAACGATCAAGGGATTCGAGGGAAGAATCAACCTAGGAATTGATCTTTGACTCTCCAAGTTGTATTATTATTATTATTATTATTATTATTAATCAAGTTGAAAGTCCCTCTTCCACACTCACATTTCAAGAAATAGAGAGGCGGCGCATGCGGGCCAATTGAGCAAGACGAACGGGTAGAGCCAGATCGTTCATGGGCATGGATTTTGTTCGCAAAGGGAGACAAGCCTGGCTATGGGTATTGTTCGCCTGGGTGCACATGTGTGGGACAGACCAAGAAGTCTCGTTCACGTGAAAAGTCGAGAGCAGATGAATGGGATAGGTTGTTCGTTCAGCTTTGAGTACACACGAACAAGAGGCGGGCCGGAAGGTCTATTCGAGTGGGGTGTCGATGCCAGGTGGATGTGTAGCACAATGCAGAAGAGAGAGAGGTGGTCGGCTTCGGGTAGATCGCAAGCTACTAGCAAGGGCAGCAGGTCAGCCGGATGTGGATTCGTTCACACAAGCCGAAGCAGAAATCAGCTCAGGGCTCGATCGCGATAGCCAGAACGGAGACCGACTTGGGCTCGCTTGCGGCAGTCGGATAGGTGGTCGAATCGGGGTTCACTCGATTGCCAAAGAATGTAAGTTAGCGTAAGTCTCTTTTTTTCAATTTTCTATTATTTTATGCAAATTGCATAAGAAGTTGCTTCAACCACAACATTGAAAACTTAATTTTTTATTATTCGAACAATATTAAAGAGCGTAAGTTAGCGTAAGAACCAACATGCATCTGGATCGGTTATTCTTTTTTTATTATTCGAATAATATTATTATCAAATTATCAACTGAAGAAGACTGCTTCAAAGTTGACAATCCTGCTTTGTGAGTAACTTCCTAATGCATGTTGATGTGGTCTCCTCACCATGACTCATATATTTCCTATCACTAAAGTTAGGATTTCTTCTCCTTGACATCAACTACACTATTTCAACCAACTAACATGATAGCATCACAACTTTATCTTTAACAAATCTAAACAAGTAAATGTTTCTATCACTCGCCTTTTTAGATTGTTTGTGGTTAGCTATGGCTGAAATAAACGTTATTATGCCTCTAGAAATGGAGATTTGAATTGGCTACTTCTCCAACGATTATCCGTGGAGTATTGTATTTAAAAGCATTCCTTTGTATTACACCTTCTACAAAGTTTTTGTGCACAACTATTAAGATCTTCAAAGCTCACCCAGAACAAAGAAAATCATTTATTATTGATACTCAATGTCAGAAAACTAGTTTCAATTGACTTGGTTTATGAGTAAACTTTTATCTTTTTTTTTTAGTTCTCTTTTTAGTCTTATCTCATATTAGGGATAGTTTAGTGCAAAAAAGTAGAAAAACTAATTTGAACTTTATTGCTTCACTTTGTCGTACAAAGTGTGAAAGTGTTTAAAGATTTCCCCAAAAGGCTTACAATGGAAATAAATCAAAACTATTTTTTTTAAAAATGTAAAAAATCTCAAGGACTATCTGCTACAATAGAAAAAAGAGACACATGAATTGCGATCTAAAGGCATCGATCCAATGATTAGAACTCTCAATCCAGGCTCAAGGATCCCTAACAAGATTGGTTAATGTGTGGATCCTATGATCCTTCAACACTCCCTTCAAATAAAATGATACAAATCTATCATTCAATGTTTTCTTACAATATTTTTGAACGTACTTTTATAGAATCATTTAGGGAGAATGATTGCAAGTTAATTTCCTCTTAGTACATATGGAATGCAGATCAATCCACTTTCCAAATTCTCTTTTATGAAGTATTTATCCACCTCTATATATTGCATAGGATCATACTATATGAGATTACAAACAACATTGATGACAAATTTATTGTCACAGTATATATTCATCGGTCATTCCCATTTGTTTTTTTAAATCTTCCAACATAATTTGATTCACAAAAACTTGCAACGTTCTTGGGCAACGGCTCTAAATTAAGATTCAATGCTAAATCTTGAAATAGAAGGTTGTTTGTTGCTCCACCATATTATGAGATTTACTCTCAAAAATATACATATTCAATCATGGATATTCTATCTACTTCTAAACAATATCCATTAGTATATCCTTCAATTTATAAAGTATCATGCTTTGCATAGAGGATTCCTTTACCAAAACTTGATTTAAGGTATCAAAGGATTTTATATACAGCTTGAATATGAAACTAGTTTGGTTTTTCCATGAGTCAATCTTGAAGGATGTGAGATAGATCATTTTTTCAACTAATCTTTGATATTTTCTCACGTATGCACCTTTTCATTCTTCCTTTACGTCCAATTTTTTATCTAGTTCAATTGGAATTTCATAAGGTTTAAAATCAATCATTTTATTACTTTCAATAGATCACATTATATTTCTGTTAAGAATGAAATATTCCTTATTTTAATTAAGCAGCCTCCACATTTCTTTTACTTCAAACTCATAATATTTGCAGCCAAACAGCTCATAAAACATTAAATCACTTTTTGCTCATTTGTGATGTACAATATAAAATTAACTTTAAGGTATTTTAGTATTAATAAGTTGATTAAGCATGAGAATTAAATTAACTTGATTATATTTGATGGAACAAAAGTTAGTTATGGATGTGTATAAATTTTTTGTTTTTATCGCACGTGAATTAATTAGTGATGTAAAACTGAGAAAGTGGGAAGACTAACATATCCTAATTTTTGGGTTGCTTGAAAATGTTATGAGATTTTTTTATATAATTTAGAAATAATTACCTTAGTGAACTTGCCAAATATTCATCTATAAATAGGATGAAGAAACCCTAAAAATCTGAAGTTGCAATAACACCCTTTTAAGGCCCATTTGGGGTCACGGTAGCTTTTTATTAAGATGATTTTAGAGCTATTATGAGAAAAAACAAGCATTTCAAAAATACATTAGGTATTATAAATATTTTCTTTTTTTATTTTTGGAAAAAGTTGGACAATAACTTTTTCACATCTGCAATAACTTAGCATATCTAATTCTTAAAAGTAACGTCTCACTATAAAAATGTTTAAAAAGCAACAAAATAGAAAAAGCTAAAAGAATGAGTAGCATAAATATGAAAAATAAAATAGTGAGAAAGCTACCCTTGTAGTGGCGAAAATAGTGTGACATTAATTAACTCTAATATCTAGACAATCTCTAGCCATATTACTTTGTCAATGAGTCGCATCTCAATCCAAACATAAGATAATATCCAATTCTTTTAATGCCTCATGGTTGATACATGTACAGGTTAAATCCTAAGAGTGATTATTCGTTAATTAGAATTTTTAGAGTGCTTGGAAGATTTACAAGGAAACCCTAAAAGTTTCTTCACTAAAATCCCTACGAGTTTCATTTAAGATTCATGAAGCAACTTAATGGGACAAAATATCAAATCAACACATAATCATTTTAGAATTCTTATAAGTATATCTACCATTTCTTAGAAGTTATCATATGTTGCTCTAAATTTTCAACCACTTAGCTCTATTACTCAATAGGCAGTACTAAGTTTTCATGTTCTAATGTAATTGTTGCAAATATCATTAATAAATAGAATTGAATATGCTATAAAAAATATATCATACTAATCTAAGATGAATGCAACTAGATGGTGTATAGTTCTAAATATCAAAAGATATTGACTTAAAAAAACCAGTGAATAAACTACTATTTGGTTCACGAAATCATCTGACATACGTAGGCCTATAGTAACAACCAACATGGAAACAAGTAAAGTAATATGAGACATGCAAAAAGTCTCCCAATCTACAATTTTCAAAGGATTGTGAGTTTGGATGGCCATGTACAACATTATTATCCATGAATCATAACATTTAGTTGAACTTAACTCACATGCCCTTCACACAAAGCACCTTTAACCCCCAAAGTATACGTGAATCATATTAGTTTTTTATCATGAATAAAATTAGTTTTAGATTTCTTAGTTTAGTGATATAGAGAATCGTGGTTAGGGTTGTGATCACATCCACTTTTCTAGCAAAATCATGATTCTCAATACCATGAGCCAATCATAATCCTCCCTCCTTCCTTGATCCTAGCCACCACAATCCTTCTTGGTTGACTAACTTGGCATGCTATCATCCCCCTCATGCATCTTCCTTCACACTACTCCTCAATTTTTATCCCATAGATCACAAAAATCTACCACCTCCATTATTCCCATATCCTATTCAATTCCACTCAAAAGAGACTCCAATACCGCAATTCCAAGCCATGAAACACAAGGGATATTGTTGTTGCTATCCTTCTTCCGACACAAAGTCAATGCTCTCCTTAAGTAAAAAGTTTTGGTGGTGGGATCAATGCTATTGTGTTGGTATGGCCACAAATGTAACAATTATGATGATGTTCAAACCTAAAAGAAGAAAGTGTTTTAAGGGGATAATAAACTTCAAGCTCACAGGATGAGTACATTTCAGCATGTGAACGGCATAGTTGTAAGCAGAACGAATGAAATGTACTGATTGCAAGCTCCTTTGCAATTGCCTTTCCTACGACTGTTCCAATCCTATCTCTCATCTCAGATGCAGCGGCAGTTGTGAAAGTCATGGCCAGTATATTAGCAGGACAAATCCCCTGGGAAAGCACAATATGAGACTTATGTGGGAGATCATCCAATCACCAAAATATAAAGTTCGGCAGCAGAATCAGAAATAATACCTCCTTCAAAAGAGTCAGCACACGCCCAACCATGGTTGATGTCTGCCTAATAACCAAGAAATCGGAATAAGTAACAGTAATGTAATAATATTGCATTTAAAACAGTGATAAATACAGAAACCCGCCTTTCCACTTCCCGGCCCGGCTACGATCATCAATGGCACTGATATATTGCTGCAAGCTGCCTCCCTCTGAACATCATTCAGCGACTGAAAGTAATCGTGATACTTCTTTGTCATCTCATCGCATCTCACAGCTTCACTAAAACTAGAATTCCCTTCTGCTTCCATACCGACATCTCCCTCCCTCTCCGTGTTTGGCTTCTCCTTCTTCACAAAAGACAGCTGCTCACAGATAGTATCTACCTCCTCCAGAAAAGAGTCATCCAGCTCCTCGTCAAGAATGCTCGACGACGACGGAGTCGTATCCTTGCGCTGAAACGGGCAAATTCCCAAGGGCTTCACGGGAGTGGAAAACCCGTTTCGAAACCCTAATCTATTGTTGATATCTGAAAGCGGCACTCTGACGACAGGAAAGCTGCGAAGGTTTGAGCCATCCATTGCACTGCATCTAAAAAGACAGAGATATATGTGCGGCGGTTTAGGCCATGGATACAGAAGGAAAACGCAAACGAAATGCAAAGAAGCAAAAGAGGTGGAGCGAACTTAGGGAAACGAGCAGGAGAAGTAGAGTCAAGGGGCCTCTTCCGGGCTAGGAGAGCTTTGGCGGCGCGGAAGTTGCTGGTGATCCGTACTCTTTGTTCCTCAGTTATTACCGCCGCCGCCCTCTCCCGTGGCAGCGGCGGTTCATTTTCGTTAAGCATGAAAACGAGGGAGATACAAAACCCTAGAAGACGCGGCCGTCCACCGAAAGGGCATAGAGAATGAGGAAAACCATAGACGAACAGGGCGAATGAGGCATGAGAGAATCGGGATCAATCGCAGGAGCGTGGGCGGCAAACTTCAAGCAAAGAGCGGGAGTGCGGAAGAGCAAGGAAACTCGAAGCAATTGTGGCACCCGAACCGTTGTGGCTCTGCTGTTGCCGTATTCAAATAAAACACAGCCCTACCATCTATCTATAGAAAGAAAATATTTTAATTAAAAAGAAATATTGCTGCACTTTCCAAAATTAAATTACATCAGCTAAAAGTAATTAATATCACAAAAACAGTGTAATATTCTTAAATTACATTTCTTTTAATATTAAACCTTATGGCCGTTTATAAAATTTAAAATATCTTATTCTAACTTAAAATATATTACCAAGACACCCCAAGTTTCATGCAAATATGAGACCTATTACATGTAAGTTTTTTATTTATATACAATACATTATCAAATATAGAGTATTTATCTAATTATAAGTTTTTTATACATACATGATTATTTATTAGATACATATTCCTTTACTAAAATACAAAATATTTTTCTTTAAGTAAGTTGAAAGTCATTAATTCAATATATATTTTTATAGCATAAACTCTAAAATTTAATTTAATTTGAAAGCGAATCAATAGAAAGCGGACTACATTGCCTCTTTTCTCACACTTAGTCATGGCAATCTACATGTAAAGTAATTTAGTAGAACCAACATTATCAACATCTCAATGTTCTATAAGCCAACATACATTACCAACCTCGCATGATAACATCATGAGCCAAACACCTATACTTGGTGCCCTATCATAGTTAAACCCCTCTGACATCATATATTCTCTCATATACTTATTTACCTGCCACTCGTAAATATATCATTTTGACCAATTTACTCTAGTTAGTACCCATTGTTCAATTCTCTCAAGCCCATGCTTCGCACCCAACACCCTCTAATCAACTCTCAAATCCCTTGAGCAAACACCCATCACTTGTCAATTCCTACTAATGATGCTTGGCCCATCTACCAAACCAAACCAAATATGACTCTATATAACTCACAAGGTCATCAATATCCATAGCTTTAATCTTTTGAAACCATTAATATCATATGTAGGGGTGTAAGTGAGCCGAGCCGGCTCGAGCTCGACTCGTTTATGGGCTCACGAGTCAAGCTTATCGAGCTCAAGCTCGATTTCGAGCTTGAGTCAGCTCGGCTCGTGAGCTCGCGAGCCGGCTCGATTAAATATTAATATTTTTAAAATAATTTTATTTTATTTATTAAATTTAAATATTAAAAAAATTAATAAAAACCACTTAAGTTTTATTAAAATGTTAAACGTTTCATAATTTTTTTTTATAAATTTTGACTAAGTTTGAAAATTCCCGTTTAAATTTTAAAAATCCCGCCTAATTTTTAAAAATCTCGCCTAAATTTAAAAATTCCCGCCCAAGACTTGCAAGCCGGCTCGAGCTCGTTTACAACGAGACGAGCTCGAGTTCGAGCTCGCTTTCCAACTAATTAGCTTGGCTCGATAAGGACCTAAACTCGACTCGACTCGACTCGTTTGCCCCCCTATCATATGTGAAGTCTCATTTTTTTAACTAGTAAAAGCAACAATATCCTTATTGAAAAAATAATTAACTTTGGTGTAGAGTTGGATATAAAGGTTCTAAATCATTATATACAAGATATGTTTTCTTAAATTCACTTTGTCGAACATATATTATTCGTCCATTCAAGCTTAAGCCATTTGGACCCATGAGCTTGATAACGATACTAATGTTTTGAGAATTACAAATACAGAAATACTGTTGGTTATAATGTTGAGCTAATGAATTTGTACGTGCATGTCTTTTTATTTTAAGATAACATTTAAAAAAAATCAAAGGCGAAGGCCAAATTGAGAGGAAAGCTTCAAGAAAGGAAAGAAGAAGAAGCAGAAGGAAGAAGAAGGAGAAGCAGGTCTGAATCAGAGAAATAGAAATGTATTGTATTGAATAATGATACCGTAGATACAAGCATCTTTATATAGAGGTTACATAAGGTAAAACCGTAATATAGACTAAGTAACATAATTAAATACAGATATATGCTTAGTATGCTAATATCCTCCCACAAGCTGAGCGTTCGTTGGACGAATGGTCAGCTTGTCGCGAAGCTCTGTAAACCGAGTTATGGAGAAAGACTTTGTTAAAATATCTGCAATTTGATATTTGGAGGAGATGTGTGCCAGTTAAATGGCTTTGGAGCTGATGTGTTGACGAATGAAGTGGTAGTCAATATCGATGTGTTTCGTTCGGTTGTGGAAGACAGGGTTCTTTGAGATTGCGATGGCGGAGGTGTTGTCGCAGTAAATTGTGGTCGTCGACGACTGCGGAATGCTGAATTCGTCGGCAAGACGGCGAAGCCAGATGACCTTGGATGTGGCAGCGGAGAGAGACCGGTATTCCGCCTCTGTGGAGGTTTTGGCGACGGTGACTTGCTTTTTGACTGTCCAAGAGATGAGCATCGGACCTAGGAAGGTGCAATAGCCGGAGATGGACTTGCGGTCGGATTTGTCGGATGCCCAGTTCGCATCCGTATATGTGTGTAATTCGAGTGGTCCGGGAGTGATCGACAGTCCGTAGTCGACAGTACCCTTGATGTAGCGAAGAAGACGCTTGAGGGCCTTGACGTCGTGATCAGTTGGACATTGCATATGTTGGCAGACTTGATTGGTTGCAAAGGCTATATCCGGTCGGGTGATGGATAGATATTGGAGGGATCCAACGAGCTTGCGGTAGAACGTTGGATCGCTTAAAGGTTGAATGAAGGATGTAATTTGTTTGCTAGCCGGAGTCACGGGGGTCGGCGCAGATTTACAGTCTGCGTAACATGCGTCTTGAAGAAGCTTAGTAGCATAGTGCTGTTGTGAGAGAAAATACCCAGATGTGGATTGAATCACCTAGATACCGAGAAACAACGATATTTGGCCGAGCTGTTTGAGGTCAAATTGCGTATGTAGCTGGCTGAGGAGGTTCTTGATGGCGGCTTCGTCGTTACCTGTCACAAGAAAGTCATCAACGTAAATGAGGATGTAGATATGAATGCCGTTTTTATTTAAAAGAAGTAATGAAGGATCAGAACGACTGAACCCGAATCCTTGTGATTGAAGAAAGCCCGTTAATTTGTTGAATCATTGGTGTGGTGCTTGTTTTAAGCCATATAGAGACTTCCGAAGTTTGCAAACGAGTTCTAAAATACAAAATATTTTTCTTTTTGTTGGAAGTCATTAATTCAAAATATATTTTTATAGCATAAACTCTAAAATTGAATTTAATTTGAAAGTGAATCGATAGAAAGCGGACTATATTGCCTCTTTTTTCACAGTTAGCCTTGTAAATCTACGTGTAAAGTAATTTAGTAGAACCAACATTATCAACATCTCAATGTTCTATAAGCCAAAGCTAAATCCGTCTGACACCATATATTCTCTCATATACTCATTTAACTGCCACTCACAAATATATCATTTTGAGCAACTCTCACGAGTTTATACCCATTGCTCAATTCTCTCAAGCCCATGCATGGCACCCAACACCCTCTAAGCAACTCTCAACTCCCTTGAGCAAACACCCATCACTTGTCAACTCATATCCACAACTTGAAGTCCACTTCTAATTTTCTTGGACTTGTTGCTCTAATATGGATTCATCTATCAATGTGCAACAACCAATGCATGCAACTTATATCCCTAAAACAACAAGAATCTACTAGTGATACTTGGCACATCTACCAAACCAAACCAAATATGACTCTAAATAAGCTCACAAGGTCATCAATATCCTTAGCTTTAATATTTTGGAACCGCTAATATCATATGTGATGTCTCATTTTTTTAACTAGTAAAAGCAATAATATCGTTATTGAAAAAATAATTAACTTTGATGTCGAGTTGGATATAAATGTTCTAAATCATTGTGGACAAGATAAATTTTCTTAAATTCACTTGGTCGAACATATAGTATTCGTCCATTCAAGCTTAGCCATTTGGACCCCATGAGCTTGGTAATGTTGAACGCATTGTGCATTTCAAATAAATCAAAGGCGAAGGCCAAATAATGCTGGACGCATGCATTGGCTAGCAATCACATAAGCATTTTTAGCCTAAATTGGAGAAGGGTTGTTGGGAAAAAAATGACCAACAAAAAAAATTATTGTATTTTAAGTATTCTTATATTGTTTTAGGCATGATTTATGGAACCACAAGCCCGTACACACAAGAGAAAAAAACATATTAAAACAAAAAGTAATTGTAAAGTAAAATGCTTGATTTATTGTAGATCGCATTGTACAATAAGCGTGGTATTTAGGCAATTTTGAAAAATCAAGTTGTGTTAACGAAGAGAAAATATAAATTAAATGTGTAAAACTAATTATAATATACGACTCAGATTGGATTGTACGATCATTTGTAGTCAAGATTGAACAAACCATTATTTGTTTTTTTATATAAGTGTTGTAGGCTATAATATACACAATGATAGAGTTAGGAATTTTCTTCTGAGTGTTGTATGGATATCCAACACACAAATAGAAGAAAAATGAAACATCATCATTTTTTATGTGAAAACCCCTGGAAAAAGGAAAAACCATGGGGCAACGTCCTGTTGAAATGATTCTGCTAGTGTTTAATTATATTACAAATGGCTGAGTCGTCTCTGAAACTGAGGAAGATCATATCACAATAATCAACTGCCAATTACGAGTGAAGATCGAAAATCTGACGATGTGTAGTGGTTGGGTGGAAATCTCGCTTCAATTGACGGCCTAGCGGAAGTCCGATGTCAGTCGACAGTCGGGCAGAACTCCGGCGGTGGTCGAGGAGGAGTTTGGTGGCAAAATAACTCAAGTTTCTCTTCTTCCTTATCGTCCTTGCTTGGGTCCACTCTTGTGAGAATGAGGATTCTATTTATAACTTTTGAGAGCGTCATGACCAATAAATAGGAAGAAAATCAAGGGTAAATTGGGAGTGATTTGAATGGGCGGCCAATGTTGATTCGCTTGACCGTGGACCATTTATTGAGCATTTGAATATCTTAATGATATCAGAATTCAATGATCTAATTCAATGATCTTAGGCTCGTTAGATTTGTCTCATTGAAGCACTTTATTTGACTATAAGCATGTCAAGTTTGGAAA